CAACCTGCCGCTTGCTCAGCGCCCTTTGAGGAGGCCACGCTATTCGTGAGTCGGCAGGACTATGGGATGAAACGACGTCATTCCTCTGTTGCACGTCCGGAACAAATGCTGTTAACAATGGCTGGGTCAGGGTGCGGTAGACGTGGCGCACAGATCTCAAACGCCACATGACCCCTGTGGGGGCAGGACAGGAAGAAGAGGAGGAGGTAGAGGAGGACATTGGTGCTCAGGAATTATTGAGTGAAATAGCGGACAGGATGGAGGAGCAGGAGCATCTGGTAGAGGAGGAGGAGGAGACAGAGGACCCAGACGCACCGTGGCAGTATGCTGTGGAGATGGAGGCAGGGAGTCCCTCGCATTCCTTGGCACAAATGGCCCATAGCATGCTCGGTTGCTTGCGTAGCGACAGCCGAATAATAACCATCAGACAGAGGGATGACTTTTGGCTGTCCACCTTGTTGGACCCTCGCTACCGTTCAAAAATGGTGGCCTTTTTCACACCTGCTGAGAGGGAGGCCAAAATAAAGTACTATAAAAACCACCTATGTAGTCAGTTGGTCTCTGCCTTTCTGCGCCAACGTCCATCCTCAGACACTGTGGGCCCTGTGCGCTCGCGTTCCGCTGCCATGGCAGCAGGGGGAGGGGTGGGGTGGTAGGAGCAGTGGCAGCTCCACCAGCAGCGGCTGCCTCAGTCTGCAGTCGATGATGAGTAGCTTTCTTCACCAGCGCAGTGACACCCTGCCAACCGAGGTAGACAATCCCCTTGACTACTGGGCAACGAAACTTGACCTTTGGCCCCAACTAGCTGAATTTTTGCCCTTGAAAGGCTGTCATGCCCGGCCAGTAGCGTGGCATCGGAGCGCGTGTTTAGTGCGGCAGGAGGTATTGTAACTCCGCGGAGGACACGACTGTCCACCCAAAGTGTGGAGAGACTCACGTTTGTGAAAATGAATCAGGCGTGGATTAGTCTGGATTTCAAACCACCAGTTCCTGACACAACTGACTAAATCCGCCATGAATCATGCCCCAAACATGTTATTAGGGACAAATGGAAGACCTCCACCTGATCCGTACATTTGTATATATATTTTATTGAGAGGCTGCTGGTCGGCCGACTCATGTTTGCACATTTTTAATGACTTATACTCTGCAGGTCGGGCCCCTCATGAATTGGGGTTTTTTAAATTATTTATACTTCGCTGGACGACCGTCACATGAATTGAACCTTTTTAATGACTTATACTCTGCTGGTCGGGCCCCTCATGAATTGGTGTTTTTAAATTATTTATACGTCGCTGGACGACTGTCACATGAATTTAAACTTTTTAATTATTTATAGTCGACCAGTTCCAGACCGATGGAATAGCAATTTTTTTAAATATTTATTTTGACACGTGTTGTCCATCTCATCAATGAGGTGGACTGTTTATTTATTGGCCACGGTTTGGCCCCCTCCTGTTTCTTACATTGTTAACTTGTTGTATCGGTCACGGTTTGGCCACATGTTTGGTTGTCTTGTTAAGATTTTCTGTAATGTACACAGTTACGCTTGACTTGTCGACTTTCCACAATCTACTAAGGTATAGCATCGCATCAAAGTTTTTTTTTTTTTTTTTTGGTCTAAACCATTTCTTATAATGTCAATTTGTAGGATACGCCGCTGTAAGGCGACCTACTTTTTTGTCACTGTGTAGACATCTATTTATAGGCCGATGTTTGGCCAGAAAGATATATTTAGTAATAACCTAGCCGTTCAAGCCGCTCACTGAACACCTCGGGAATTGCTTTGTATATCTGTCGCCTTAGGGGCCGCTGTCTGGCGACATAATTTTTTGTCACTGTGTAGACATCTATTTATAGGCCGATGTTTGGCCACAAAAATATATTTAGTAATAACCTAGCCGTTCAGGCCGCTCCCTGAACACCTCGGGAATTGCTTTGTATATCTGTCGCCTTAGAGGCCGCTGTCTGAACAGCTCATGAATTGCTTTCTATATGTGTCGCCTTTTGAGGCCGCTGGCTGGACAGCTGATGAATTGATTTGTATATATGTAACTTATTGTCCGCTGTCCGGACAGCTCATGAATTACTTTTTTGTATATAGCCTTCCAAACCACTCTCAGAATAAGTCATGATATTCATGCTGTGTATAGCCTTATAGGCCAATGGTCAATCAAGTCATGATTGTTATAGTGTGTATAGCCTTATAGGCCGCTGTCTTTACAACTTTATAATTCCATGCAGTATATAGCCCTATCGGCCACTTTCTGGCATCCAGTTGCTGTAGCCCCCCATCACCACACTGTGCCACGGGCCCCTGTACCGCCTTCTCATACTGCTGCCAGATCCATCCTCTGCCATGTGCGTCTTTGTCGTCTGCTCACGCTGCTGCTGGGTTCCAGTTTTAAACCTAGGCCTGTGTATGGCTTCCGAATACTGCTGCCCTCCACCGCCCGCCCCTGCGCCATGTGCCTCTGTCGTCTGCTCACGCTGCTGACGGCTTCCGCTTTTTAACCTAGCCTGTATGGCTTCCGAATACTGCTGCCTCCACCGCCACCCTGCGCCATGTGCCTCTGTCGTCTCTCACGCTGCTGACGGCTTCCGCTTTTTTAAACTAGTCCTGTGTATGTCTTCCGAATACTGCTGCCTCCACCGCCACCCTGCGCCATGTGCCACTTTCGGGTCTCCTCACACTGCTGCCAGGTCCATACTGATTCATGGCCCCCTGTACCGGCTCCTCATGAACGTGGTTCAGCGGGTTTGCATCACTTAACGGCAAATCGTTGACAAATGCTGGGACGTTCAGTGTTTGTGCGCATTAAGCCAGACACCAAAGGGCAGCACAGACCTGTTATTACTCGCTCAAGCATGGCTGAACAAAACCAGTCTCTACCACAAATTGGACCCAGACCTGCCCAGGGTCTCGTAACTAGATTGCACGGAGGAGTAGAGTCCGTTATCGGAATTAAATAGACAAAACGCCACACCAAAAAGAGTGGCCATTTCCAACACTTATTCCAGAAAGAGGAACAACCCCGTTTTCATATACGGCCCGTAGACGTTTCACGTCTGCCACATTCAGTCGATTTAAGACGCAAGCTCCACTTCCTGTGGTCTCTCTGACCGTCGATATACCTTTAAGTGTCAGCTTTGAAGCTATATTCCCTCCCCTCCGGAGCACTGACACTGGTGCCTTGCCCTTCCGTCAACATGCCTTTAAGTTTCAGTTTTCAACCATATTCCCCACAGAAGCCAAACTCTTGGGGTATCCCAGAAGCTGCTCAGCGGGTCAGGGCAATAAAGCTCCCGGTTCGCAGGTTGTTCCGTCTTATGGATGGAAGTACGACGGTATATGATGATCTTCTTCGCACCCACGGCATTACCTCATAAAATTTCTGCATTGCATCTGCAATCACAACGCTGACTTCCCGGATCGCCACTCAGCCATTGGACTCTTGATAGTCGTCTCCCCACACTGCTGCTGGGGGGACTTTTTAACCTAGGCCTGTGTATGGCCTTCAATTGAAGCTGCTTCCGCTCCGCCACTCTGCCATTGGACTCTTGATAGTCGTCTCCCCACGCTGCTGCTGGGGGGACTTTTTAACATAGGCCTCTGTATGGCCTTTAATTGAAGCTGCTTACGCTCCGCCACTCTGCCATGGCCTCTTGGGTATCCCAGAAGCTGCTCAGCGGGTCAGGGCAATAAAGCTCCCGGTTCGCAGGTTGTTCCGTCTTATGGATGGAAGTACGACGGTATATGATCTTCTTCGCACCCACGGCATCACCTCATAGAATCTCTGCATTGCATCTGCAATCACAACGCTGACTTCCCGGATCGCCACTCAGCCAGCCATTGGACTCTTGATAGTCGTCTCCCCACACTGCTGCTGGGGGGACTTTTTAACCTAGGCCTGTGTATGGCCTTCAATTGAAGCTGCTTCCGCTCCGCCACTCTGCCATTGGACTCTTGATAGTCGTCTCCCCACGCTGCTGCTGGGGGGACTTTTTAACCTAGGCCTGTGTATGGCCTTCAATTGAAGCTGCTTCTGCTCCGCCACTCTGCCATTGGACTCTTGATAGTCGTCTCTCCCCACACTGCTGCTGGGGGGACTTTTTTACATAGGCCTCTGTATGGCCTTCAATTTAAGCTGCTTACGCTTCGCCACTCTGCCATGGGCCCCTGTACCACCTCCTCACTGCTGCTGCCAGGTCCAGAGTGTGTCATGGGTCCCTGTACGGCCTCCCATTGCTGCTGACTTCATCGCCAGACTCTGCCATGTGCCACTTTCAGGTCTCCTTACACTGTTGGTGGGTTCCATTTTGTGATAGGGTGCTGTATGGCCTTCCATTGCTGCTGCCTCCACCGCCACCCTGCCATTGGTGCCCTCTGGGACTTTTTTCATAGGTCTGCTCACGCTCTTTTGTCTAGGGTCCCTGTATGGCTTCCAATGCTGCTGACTCCACCGCCACTCTGCGCCATGTGCCCCGCTGTTCTGCTTAACTGCTGCTGAGGCTTCCTTTGTGTAGGGTGCTGTTGGCTTCCGAATACTGCTGCATCCACCGCCACCCTGCGCCATGTGTGCTTTCTCTGTCGTCTGCTCACGCTGCTGACGGCTTCCGCTTTTTAACCTAGGCCTGTGTATGGCTTCGAATACTGCTGCCTCCACCGCCCACCCTGCGCCATGTGTCCTCTGTCGTCTGCTCACGCTGCTGACGGACGGCTTCCGCACCTAGGCCTGTGTATGCTTCAGAATAATGCTGCCTACACCGCCACCCTGCGCCATGTGCCTCTGTCGTCTGCTCACGCTGCTGCCAGGTCCATACTGATTCATGGCCCCCTGTACCGGCTCCTCATGAACGTGGTTCAGCGGGTTTGCATCACTTAACGGCAAATCGTTGACAAACGCTGGGACGTTCAGTGTTGTGCGCATTAAGCCAGACACCAAAGGGCAGCACAGACCTGTTATTACTCGCTCAAGCATGGCTGAACAAAACCAGTCTCTACCACAAATTGGACCCAGACCTGCCCAGGGTCTCGTAAGTAGATTGCACGGAGGAGTAGAGTTCGTTATTGGAATTAACTGTGAGGGACTTTTAAACCTAGGCCTGTGTATGGCCTTCAATTGAAGCTGCTTCTCTGCTCCGCCACTCTGCCATTGGACTCTTGATAGTCGTCTCCCCACGCTGCTGCTGGGGGGACTTTTTAACATAGGCCTCTGTATGGCCTTCAATTTTAGCTGCTTACGCTCCGCCACTCTGCCATGGGCCCCTGTACCGCCTCCTCATGCTGCTGCCAGGCCCGTAATCTGCCATGGGCCCCCGTACCGACTCCTCATGCTGCTGCCAGGCCCGTAATCTGTCATGGGCTCCTGTACCGCCTCCTCATGCTGCTGCCAAGTCCAGAGTGTGTCATGGGTCCCTGTACGGCCTCCCATTGCTGCTGTCTCCATCGCCACACTCTGCCATGTGCCACTTTTAGGTCTCCTCACACTGCTGGTGGGTTCCATTTTGTCATAGGGTGCTGTATGGCCTCCCATTGCTGCTGCCTCCACCGCCACACTGTGGCTCCACACTCTGGTTTTGGCCCCGTGACTGCCCAAATGAGTGAAGTGTGCGGTGATTCTAAGATCGACGGCACTCATCTGCATGTCATACTGACTGACAGTATTATTTCTCTCTTCCCCAGCAGACTCCAAGGGCATTTAAATTAAAGGTACAGTGTTCTGCACTAATATAAAGGCTCTCTGAAGCCTAGAAACACCCTTTTTATAAGTTAAATTCACAGCGAATATATTCGGCTCGAAGCGAATTTATTCGGCGAATTCGGCGAATCAGCCGAACCGAATTTTTGAATAATTCGCTCATCTCTAATATATATATATATATATATATATAAAAGAAAATTGGATTACTGCACATAAAAAAACTTCTATTGTTGAAAAATCACCATACAAAAGGGTGATCCAAAAAATGGACAAAGCCATACATCATCATCATGTATGGCTTTGACCATTTTTTTTGGATCATCCTTTTGTATGGTGATTTTTCAACAATAAATTTTTCATGTTCAGCAATCCAATTTTCTTTTTTCTATATATAGCCTTTGGGAGGGCCTGATTGCTATGCACTGTGATTGATCATCGTTGTGCATTCCACCCATATTACTACTGTATATATATATATTTTTTTTGTTTTTGTTTGTTTCCCCACCAATAACTTTTTTTGTTTCTACAAAGGATCTTCGGGTTTCCCACAAGAGGAAAACTAGCTGAAACATGAACTGAATGATCTGAAGCCTACCAAGTTAGTACAGGGGGTGCTATAGATGCTCACCTACCAGATGCATGTGCAATGGCCTAATGTGGATATGCATATTTGTACCACGATCTGGCTGCACTGCATGATCTCGCAGCTGAATCACTTAAGTCTAAGCTGCAGGTCTAAGCATACAAAGAAATGGTTTCAGTAGGCTCGGCTAAACCAAACACTGTTGCATATCTCCTTCTTCTGTAGGCTTGAATTGATGTGTGACACAAAAGAAGGCTTGTACAGTTCAGTAAGTGCCTATCGGGCCTGCCATCAGAATTCTAAAAAGCAGGACAGCTGTTATTTTGTTCACTTGTTGAGAGTGTAGGTGTTCCTGCTGCCCCACAAAAGGATCTTGTGTGGAGAACATGCCTCAGCTGCCTTTCTTTAAACTGGTGTAACAATGGAGAGTAAGGCCCTTGTCAGATCTTTGAGGTTCCAGCCAACATTTAGCTTATGAAGTCATAAATCAAAAGATGCTAAGAACGTTTTATGTGAAAGATGAAAATATTGCCATGCTATTTTGAACAGTAATTAATAATGTTTTTACAATACAAAATTAACATTATATAGAGGTTTAACTCTGTATTTTCACTAACAATAAAAAATATTACAATAATTTCCTAACCAATACATATATATATATATATATATATACACCCTGTTCCAAATTATTATGCAAATGATATTTTTCTCATTTACCTAAATAATTGATGTAAATAACAGTCAGCATAATTCTCATGTTATCAACTATTAAGAGTACAATTCACATTTTATTGAACAAACCTAATGATAACAGTAATTTTTTTTTAAACATAAAAAACTTACAATGCACTGTTCCAAATTATTATGCACAGTAAGTTTCAAAACACTTTATAGGTTGTAAAGAACTGAAAATTGTCATTTGTTGTGTTTGCAGCATATTTACTGAAATCAAAAGATATTTCAATCAAACTTTTAACAACATTTTAACTTTTTAAACATTTTAACAGGTCACGTTACATTTTAACATAGGACCCGTTATTTGATAGCAGGTTCACAAGTCTTGCATCCATTGAACTTGTGAGTTTTTGGACAGTTTCTGCTTGAATTTGTTTGCAAGATGTCAGAATAGCCTCCCAGAGCTGTTGTTTGGATGTAAACTGCCTCCCACCCTCAAAGATCTTTTGCTTGACGATGCTCCAAAGATTTTCAATAGGATTGAGGTCAGGGGAGGATGAAGGCCACACCATGACTTTCTCTCCTTTTATCCCTCATAGCAGCCACTGAGCAGAGCTATTCTTTGCAGCATGAGATGGTGCATTGTCATGCATGAAGATGATTTTATTACGGAAAGCATAGTTCTTCCTTCTGTACCAGGGAAGAAAGTGGTCAGTCATAAACGCAACATACTTTGCAGAGGTCATCTTTACACCTTCGGGGACCCTAAAGGGGCCGACCAGCTCTGTTCCCATGATTCCGGCCTAAAACATGACTCCACCACCGCCTTGCTAACGTCGAAGCCTTGTTGGAACAGGGTGGCCGTCCACCAACCATCCACTACTCCATCCATTTGGACCATCCAGGGTTGCATGGCACTCATCAGTGAACAGGACTGTTTGAAAATTAGTCTTTATGTATTTTTCTGCCCAATGCAGCAGTTTCTGTTTGTGAGTATTGGTCAGTGGTGGCCGAATAGAAGATTTATGCACAGTTGCAAAACTCTGGAGGACTCTACACCTTGATGTCCGTGGGACTCCAGAGGCACCAGCAGCTTCAAATATCTGTTTTCTGCTATGTAATGGTATTTTAGCAGCTGCTCTCTTGATCCGATGCATGGATGTGGCAGAAATTTCCTCAATGTGCCTTTATGTGCACGAACCCGTCTGTGCTCTGAATCAGCCACAAATCTCTTAATAGTGCGATGATCACGCTTAAGTTTTCGTGAAATATCTAATGTTTTCATACCTCGTCCAAGGCATTGAACTATTTCACTCTTTTCAGCAGCAGAGAAATCCTTTTTCTTCCCCATATTGCTTGAAAATGGTACTCTGCTTAATAATGTGGAACACCGTCCTTTAGTAGTTTTTCCTTAAATTGGGCTCACCGGCCAATCTAATTATCACAGGTGTCCGAGATTGTTTTCAGTGATCAAAAGAGCCCTGAGACACACAATGCCATCCATGAGTTAAACTGAAAAACAAAATATTTAACTTTTGTGACACTTAAATAGAATTTGCATAATAATTTGGAACGCGGTGTGTATATATATATATATATATATATATTTGTGTGTGTGTGTTTATATATTATATATATATATATATATATATAATTAAATATTTTAAAGTGTAACTCCATTACTAGTGGAGTTACATTTAGTGGGCTTTAACACTCTCAATGGTCCCTGTTGAGTCCTGCTCTTCGTATGAGCCAAAAATCTCCCTTCATTTTCATGCAAAATCTTTTAAACTGTTTGTCCTGCACATATATATGAGGGGCAGGACCCAACAGTGAAGAAGAGCAGGGACAGGAAGAAGCGTAACTTGTCAAAGTTATCCATAAAGGTCATTAAAGCCCACTAAGAGTAACTCCACCTAAAGTGTACATGTATCCAGACTATGGAGCTGACTTTTGTAACTGCTTTTAATATGAAGTTATTTATTCTTAAAGATGTTCTTATAGAAAAAGTAGCGCCTGTGTTGTGAATTTGTGTGAAATTGTGAAAATGAATTTATCTGCAATGCTTATAGAAACAAAGCTAAATGAGAGCTTGTTTAACCACTTGCACCCAAGAGGATTTACCCCCCTTCCTGACCAGGGCATTTTTTGCATTATGGCGGTGCGTTACTTTAACTGACAATTGAGCAGTCATGCAATGTTGCACCCAAATGAAATTTACGTCTTTTCTTCCCACAAATAGAGCTTTCTTTTGGTGGTATTTGATCACCTGTGCGTTCACTTTAAAGTGGAATTATATTTTTAAAGGAATCCTGCTGCCATTATATTTTCTTTAAATAGTTCCTTGCAATAAAAGAAGATTAATACTTGTCACTCTGACAGGCAGTGTAGCTCTGGCAGGCACAGCTACAGTGGTTGAATATTCTTTTTCTTTCAACACATTTCTGT